ACAACCACAACATCAACATCAACAACAACAACTACAACATCAACAACTACAACCACAACAACAACTACTACAACAACAACTACTACAACCACAACAACATCAACATCAACTACAACTACAACAACAACAAGTAGTAAGCAACAGTTCAGATGAAGAATGTTTTCTATAACCCATCGAGACAGGATCAATTTTAGAAAATCTATGAAACCATTTTTGAGACTATAAAGTATCGCAAATCAAAATAATTTAGAAAATTTCAACTGACAAGAGTTTTTGAGATGTAGAAATCATCTCTTCTCGCAGATATACTAAATTCGTTCAATAAAACTTCTGTCAGAACACAGTAGTTGTTTTTTCTAAGTAATTTCTTTTCGTCAGTGAGTAACATTTATGAGAAAGAAATACTTTTCTGTCGCATAGCATTGCGTGATTAAATTTTCATAGGTTGCCAAACCGATTTTTATTATATCTGTAAAGATCATATGTACTACCTAGCAGTTTTTTGTTTTTTGAATTTTAACTATTTAGTAAAATAAGATGCAATCGATAATATGTACATAGTGGAAAGTCTTTTGATACATAAATTTGAGAGATTCTATTCATTCTTTACAACCAATCCAGTTTTTATGTACAATCAAACTTGCTATAGTTCTTTAAACTCTTAGAATCCAAGTGTTTTTCTTTCCTCACATAGACTATTTTCGACTACATTCAATTTTAATAGACAATAAAAATTGAAAAAATAACTGAATTGCGTACTTTTAGCTACTGCTTATAAAAATGGCTGTAACGCACTAAATACTACTGGTTTGGTTGCCTGTTATTCATTCGATTTTGGTTCTACATTTGACAATGGTCCAAATCATCTTAATGGAACTCTAGTTGGCAATGTGACTACTGTTAGTGGCCACCTTAATCAAGCTTTGTTGTTTAATTCAAATGCTTCATATTTCTATACTGGTGGTCTAGTTGCTTTAGGAACATCTAATCAAGCTTTTTCTTTCTCATTCTGGATGAAACCTATATCAGTCACTGGTGGTACTATCGTTCATATATCGGTTGGACCAAATGGTTACAGTAACGGGGCAACAATTTGGTGTGTAGCATTTATCGGATTTAACTCTAGTGGTAAACTTATTGCTCAAGTCTATAACTCTGCTCCAGTTGCTGTTACCGGACCCATTATTAATTTGAACGTATGGACACATGTAGTAGAAACATACAGCACTACAAACGGAGTGACTTTATACATTAACGGAACATTGTTTGGATCAACAGGTGCCACAAGTTATACAGCTAGTGGTTATACAGATTATATACACCTTGCTTATTATGGAACGCAAGGGAGTCCATGCGCGGCTGGTAACATTAATCCAGGACAGTTTATGGGAGCTATTGATGAGTTTAGAGTTTATAGTCGTGAGCTTACTTCATTGGATGTCAGTGCACTTGCAAATCAATAAGTTTTCTCATTATCGTCTTATATTATTTGCATATGTACTTTGGTTATGATATTCAAACACACAATAACAGGATTTTCGATTATTAACACATTATAATATATTTCTACTGTCGTGCATTATGTTCTTTTCTATTACTTATTTTCTTTATTCGCTTATTTGTATGCTTAAATATACAGTTTTGATGAGTGATATATAAATAAAGCAAGAAACACGTCATCAACTCAGAGTGTGAGTGTGCGTATTTCTCTCATTCATTATCTGCATCTACACTCACTTCTTCAACACATTTTACATTCAACCGGCGTCAGTCGATCGAGAAAACATTCGCTTGAAACTATCTTGAAGGATGTCAAATGAATATTATACTCACCACTATCCTCACCCTCATCATTGCTGATCTTACAATCACATAAAAACATTAACTTTCATGTTTTTTTTTGTAAGGTTAAGTTCTAAAAAAACGAGACATGAGTTCATTCCTGTCTAATGAGAGAATCTCTTTAGATTATAAAAAGATTTCGATATGAGATTTCTATCAGTAGATGGGCTGCCTCAAGACTTGAAAGGGGTGTGGATGTAAATGAGGATAGAGGAGAAACTACATCCATACCCACGCGCTTAATTTGAAATAGGCCATAATTTTAGTAAGGTCTTATAAATCTTTATCCGTAAATATCGAAATAATTAATCTCAAATTTAGCTGCAGAATCATTAGCTGATTCTGGCTTAGAATAATTAACAATTGTCTAAGGAATATGTTCAGCTTTGCATGTTGCGAAAAAAAGAAGATTTTTATTTGAGAAAACAGTGCAAATTGTATCCACAAGGTATGAAGGTAGAATGAACGAAATACCCACATCCATTCCTCGCTGTGGCTTCAAGTTTCATCGAACTCTTTAGTTCGAGCTCTTCTACATTCATAGTGAAATTAATCACAATTAGTACAACTGTTTTCATGCTACAAGCTGAGTTCGTGACATTTGATTCAATAAAAAAATTCAAGATTTCTTTTAAAACTTGCAGCTTTTATTTTTTTTACTGCTAGAAGTTAGTCTAAACTTGAAAAAAAATATATAAGTATTTTTAAGACATATCTTTATTGAGCACCC